CCCCCCCCCCCCGAGCTGGGGTATCTCTCTGTAAGGGGGGGTGTCCTTGGGGGTTCACCCCCCCGAGCGGGGGTATCTGCCAGGGGGGTGTCTCTGGGGGTTCACCTCCCCTGAGCGGGGGTATCTCTGTCAGGGGAGTGTTTCTGGGATTTCACACACACACCCCCCCCGAGCTGGGGTATCTCTGTCAGGGGGGTGTCTCTGGGGGTTCACCCCCCCGAGCGGGGTTATCTGTCGGGGGGAGCGGGCTGTGGGCTCCCGTCCAGGCAGGTGTTAGTCGTGAGGCGATAGGGGAGCAGGGACTAGTGGGGGGGTTTAAGCCCCCACCCAGGGCAGGGCTGAGCTCTGAACCCCTCCGCGGGGGCTAGTAGGGTGTGGGGCTGGGCCAGGAGAACCAGAGGAGCCCCAGAGCCCCCCCCCCTGTGAGGTCAGGCGGGAGCCCCCCAGGCGTGGGCCCACCCCTCCGTGCCCGTGGATGCTGCACCCCCGGAGATGATGCCACCCGAGGAGGAGAGCCCCGACGGCAGCGGGGAAGGGGACAGGGACAGTGACCTTGTCCTCCTGCGAGCCCTGAAGTGCGGCAGCGCCCGGAAGGTGAGGCACGGCCATGGGCGGGCGTGGGATGGAGAAGCACCCGAGTGATGCTCCCTGGGTACCTCTGTCTGCTCCGTGAGGATAGGGGTGCCTGTGGGTGGGGGTGCAGGGCCATCCTGGCCACCAAACTGTGCTGGGGGTGTCACGGGGCTGGATAGCGAAGGGTTTGGTGTGTCCAAATGGATCCAAGAGCTCATCCATAAGCAGACCTACACAGTTGTCTTGTAGCTTAACTCTTAAACTCCGCTCCTCTGTCACATCTCCATCTGCAAGCTTCCCCGTGACTGCTTTGAACCAAATACTCCTGCATTTTGCCTTTTTCTCCTGCCTGCCTGTAGGAAGATGGTCCAGCCAAGCCCTGCCTGCCTCCCCGCCATCGGAGAAACCAGGCAGGGTGATGTTCGTTGGCCACGTTTCCTTCCCCCAGGAGCTGCCCATGAGGAAAGTCGGTGCAATCCAGCCGGGGCTGTGCGTGCGAGATGGGGCCGATAGCTCTGCTGGCGTCACTCGTTTAATTAGTAACAGCGGGGTGAAAGCAACGGGGATTGTCCTCAGGCTGCCACCGACCCCTTGCTCGACGTTCCCTGCTGTCCCTTGGGTGGCAATGCACGCTGGTGGGGTCGAGGAGGCTTCTGAAAGCGTTACTTCTTGGAAAAAAAAAAATAAAATAATGGGTATACAGAAGACTTCGGGGCTGTTTAAGCGTGTCTCCCGTTAGGTCTGTCCCCTAGGAGCCAGCTTTATAAACCTGCAGTGAGTTTGCCCTGTAATCTGATCTCTTCTTGCAAGTATATAATTTTCAAAACTTGTTCTTCAGCAGAGAGCTGCATTTCTGCAGCCCTTTGGCCAAAAAACAAACAAAACAAAACAAAAAAAAAACAAACCAAAACCCCAACACCTTAAAAACTCCCAGCAATCAAAATAACAAAACTCAGTCAGGCTCTAGAGGTGGGTTTTTTGTTTTGTTTTTTTTTCCTGAGCGAGGATTGAGACTGTTCAGCCGAGGTTGCAAGGCTCAATCAGATCTTGAGTCACTTGAGCCTGGCCTTTCCAACTGCAGGTAAAGAGGCTGCAACCTTAAACCAGGCTGGCATTTACCCAGGGCCTTGTCTAAATAGCAGGTGCTGCTTGTAAGGAAAGATTAACAGGACTTTTTTTTTTTTTTTTTTTTCCCAATTTATTCTGTGTAGAGACACACCATTTCCCTTGTATGAGCAATTGGTTTACTCTGGATCTATCGGGCAGTAGCACAGAGGAGAACAACATAGGAAAATGTTGCGAAGCTGTAGTGGGGGAAAACTGGCAGAGGATACGCAGCATCTGTCATAACATGATTTTTATTTTAATTTAAAACTCACCTGATTAGATTTCCTCTTAACGATATCAGGGTTTTTTTATTTAAAAGAAACTCTCAGTATAGCCTCTTCTAGTTGTTTTTCCTCACCCTGAGAGCATCAGGGGCTGTGGAAAGGGGCCGCTGCACGCTTGCTCCCTTGCAGGGAATCCTCAGTGCTGCTGTGATGGTGATTTTTTTTCTCTTGCCAAGGTTCATGCACTGGGACTGAAGATTTAATACATCTGTTTCCTGCTGGCGCTCTGCCCCAGCTCTCATGATGCCCTGTACCTCCCCCAGCTCCCCAGAGCTGTTTCAGGCTCCTAAAATTCAAGCTCTGGGTGAAGGTTTTGCTGTTTAAAAACCCAATCCCTTGTATTTTATTTTCTCCCCCCCCCATTTTATTTTTCTTTCCTCTTGCTGAGTGCATTAGCCAACAGTGAGGGCACTTCATTGGGAAATTTAAAACCTTAATCCTCCGCTCATTTGTTAAAAGGCTGTGTGATGTAACCATATTCTCAATAAAAGGTTTTAGAGGTTTTAGCTGGTAATGTCTCCCACAGAAAAAACAGCTTGCAGCCGGAGTGCTTCATGAGATTAGTTTCATGATAGGAACTTTTATAGAAAAATAGATGCTTAGGGAGTAAAAATGCTTGTTGTGACCTACTGGTTGTCTTTCAGCAACAGCCCATGTTACTTTCTGAAATGCCCTTGGCTGGGAGGAGAAGGAAATTATCTATAATCTTTTTAAAAAGGAGAATTTTAAAGCCCGCTTTTGTGCGCAGAGCGGTTCTGTGGCTTTTGTTTTGCTCTCTATCCCACAGGCTAACGTGGCTAAATCAGGGTCACTTGGCCACTTGTCCTGTGCTGGCCTGACTCAAAAACTTGTGGGTTACAAAGAGGAATAATAATTCTGGTTGACAGCTCTGACTCTATCAGAAATTGTTTATAAACCAGTGTGGTTCTGGAAATAAAACAGGTCCTGGGAGCTTGATGCACTGGTTACCCTGTTTCTACAGCAAGTTTTCCAGCAGCTGGATCATCTGTCCACGTGGAAAACTCCCTTTCTGGGGAGAAAACTTTGTGTTAGGACATATTATTACTCCTGAGAATGCATGAAAATAAGTGCCTGCTTTTTTTTTGCTTTTTTTTTTTTTTTTTTGTAAAACCTGGAAGGTCGAAGTTGTACCTGGAGACCATGTGCTCAACGCAAAGGGTTGGGGTCATGTCTCGAGGGTACATCTGTCAATGACAGGGGTAGCTTGTGTGCTGGTGCTTCCTAGAGCTGTAGGAATTGTCGTTGTCATTGTTCCTTGTCTCTATGCAGGTATTTTACTCTGGCTTTTACTACAGATATTCTAGAGTGTGCCTTGATGCAAGCTGGGTGAATTATCGGAGAGCAAACGCAGCTTGGACTTGACCAACTCTCATAGACTTGCCCACCTCTGCCTGAGTTACGCTTGGTGGTTGGTGCTTGACCCTCCTAAGCGCTGGTCTGAATTCAGCTCTTCGTGCACCGTTCTTGCTGGGGTTGAAGGCTTCTTGGGTGCAAGCGTATGATTTCCTCGTGCTATAGCACCTCGTGCTCCTTTGTGTGCCGTTTTCTTTCATTGCATTGCGAGTACAGGCTGGTAGTGCCGGAAGGGTGGGTGGGTTGGTCACTCATTTGGCGGTGTTGGGTGCTGGTAGGAGCTCACCACCTAGGACACACTTCACGGACAGCTCTGAAGAACTGGGGACCTTTACCGTTAGCAGCAAACCATAGCCAGCACTGGGATGGATTTGGCATTGCCCATGAATCCTGGTCCTATCTAAAGAAATTCCCATCTTGATGAGAGAACAGTTTGTAGATGGGATGACTCATGATGTCCAAAGGTTAGTGTGGCCCTCATGGGTGTCAAACCGAGATATCTCAGGCTTGTTTTGAAGCCTTGCTTGACTTTGCCTTTGGCTCTGGAGTTTGTTTTAGTCCGACTGACTGTACATAGGAGCGCTTGGGGTGGCTCTTGTGGGAACTGCTGGGGTAGGAGGAGAAGTGGAGGTGAGACATGGGGAGCCAGGCTCCAGCAGAGCTCCTGCCATGTTGTCTGAGGGGTGTATCTATGCCCCGAGCAACCAATCTCAGCCACTGGTTGAAGGAACAAGGGAGCGCTAGAGGTCAAATGAATGAAATCCCAACAGGTTGTCCAACAGAAGAGTTGAACCATGTCTGCTTCCTTCCCTGGGAAAGGATTGAATGACACTTTTTGATGCCTTTTGACTCCCTTCCCTTGAAAAAAGCAAAAAGATGTCTACTCCCAGGAGAGGATAATTTACAAAATTAAAACAAAATAGTCCTTAAGGCTTTAAGGAATATATGCAACAGTTTGGGATAATGGAAACGCTGAAGGCTGTGCAAGGCTTCAGGGGACGTAGCAGATGAACAGCACGGGTGCCTTTGCCAAATGCAGCTGGGCTACACTTAACATCCTCATGGTATCCATCACCTCCTGAGCTGGTCTGAGCAGTGGCAGCTGAGATGGCCTTAGTCCTGCCGTTAGTCCTCAGCGATGTCCCTGAGCTCTGGTGGCGCAGTGTCAAGCATGAGGACAGGCTGAGAGAGTTGGGGGGGTTCAGCTGGGGAAGAGAAGGGTCCAGGGAGACCTTAGAGCGGCCTCCCAGGGCTGAAAGGGTGAGCCGGAATGGGGGGAGGGACTCTTGATCAGGGAGTGTAGGGATAGAGCAAGGGATGATGTCTTAAAAGTGAAAGAGGGTTTAGATATGAGGAAGAAATTCTTTGTTGTGAGAGTGGTGAGGCCCTGGCACAGGTTGCCCAGAGAAGCTGTGGCTGCCCCCTCCCTGGAAGGGTTCAAGGCCAGGTTGGACGGGGCTTTGGGCAACCTGGG